GACCAAAAATAGTATCATTTTTGGCTAGATTTCCAAACATCTCGATTCAAATTTACTGCATTTAATGCATTGTAGTCTAAAGTTTTTAGCTTATTGTGCACTCAATAATCTTAATCTTATTATAAATACATTCGTCGGCGAATGTATTGAATTCTAATGCAATTGATTTTATTAAAAATTATCAAACCTATAGCCCATAAACTCTTATGATTTAGACAATTATTATTAAAAATATAAAAATAAGAGATTTACCGGTATTTCAAATTTGTCTCTTAATTCCTTATAACTTGGAATCGATTTTTAACTATAAATAAATAAAAGATTATAAGTAAATAGAGTTATGTTAAGTTTTATTTAAAATGTTTAACGAGTAATTAATGAAGTGAATGAACAGCTCTCTCATCACTGAGAATTGAGAATATTATACGATATGATATTTGGTATGTTTTAAGGCATTGTTATCCTCTATTCTGCGAATCATTAGACAAAGAAATATATTTGTGAAACATTTCAGACATACTTCCGATTGGGTTTCTATTTAAAACTCAATTCAATAAACTGGGTTATCAAACAACTCTCTCTCTCTCTCTCTCTCTCTCTCTCTCTCTCTCGTGAAACTGTTTTGTAGACTAAATCTGTTGTCCAATCGACTTAAACAGCACATACCATACCCTGTCTTCAATCATATATTGTTTTTGTGAAATACAATACCAATAGAGTTAACCTATTTATAGATTGAATTTGGAAAAAAATAAAGTTTATATAAATTAACACTAATATATTATTTTCACTTTTATTTGATGATTAAAAAATGTACGAATGATATTTGAAATGTGTTTATTTACTTTTTAAAAATATAAACCCATTTTTCACTAATATCTACACATATTTAAACACTAATGATTAACAACACTTAAGTTTGTCATTAATCCCCTTTAATAGAATAGAAGCTATATTTTGGGTAACTACACTCATCCCTATAGTAAATAATGGGATGAGTCCACACACGAATGGAATGTATGCATATTAATAATGACTCAATAGTGACACTTATTGGTGTTTTCACTACAACTTCAAAACTTGACCGATAGGTAGTGGGAAGGAATGGGTTTGTGGACCGAGCTGATTGCCTGCTAGTTGTATTAAAACAGAAACTCTAATTCCTTAACATGTATTCCGATTCTCTATTTAAATACGAATAACTCTTCAATTTTGGTCTTAAACAAGAGTTCTCAAAACTTACAAAAAAGTAGGCTTTGCCTCTATGCTCTCATAGACAATACATTACAGTTTACGCCCTTTTACCCGCATTTTACCCACTTTTACCCGCTCTGAGAAACGTTGGTCTTAAATGTAATTATCAAACAATATGTTGTAATGAAAGCAATGGTTGCGTGAAATGTGAGTTTGAAATTCAAAGAATAAATAAAAGTTAGTATTAATTCTAATAAAGTTTATTATTTATCAAATATTTGCGTTTAAAACACAAACAAAACAGTTGCGCTTATATTAAGTCATAATAATAAACATCAAACAAAAAAAATTAACTTAAATTACATGAAAACGTGTAATTTATTTACCAATTAAAGCACGAACGGAGTGTTAATTAAGATTCAAATGTAATCTTTAAATATCTGTAGGAAAACAAATTCATTTGTTTTCAAAGCGAAAACACAGGAATTTAATTCATTTTAAAGTAAAAAACAAAACTTTAAAACTTTTGCCTCAAAAACAAGTGCCGAAAACAAAAGGCGAGTGAAAAGTGATTTAATTACCCATTAATTAAAGAAAAATGTTTCTTATTTTGTATTTAAAAAATAGTTTTTTCTTAATTTAGTGAATGAATGAAAGAAAAAAAAAAGTTTTAGCAATGATTTGAAGATTAAAGCGGAGCTTATTATGCTTATAGTGGTTATGGCCTTAAGATTAGTGTATATTTCTTAATGGAAAACAGTATTAAAGCAATTAATGTGTAAACAAGAGTGGGGTTGAGCTCATGGCTAAGCCGTGGGAGAAGCGACCAAAAGTTAGTTCCGACCAAAACGCTCGAGCATTCGGGGAGAGCTGTCAATCAAGCCCTCCGTTGGATACCCTGTATGTGTGGGTGAGTCCACTCGAGCTTATGGTTAACATTAGTGTTATGTATCGCCAAAGTCATACATTTCTCACGTAGAATACTATAAAGTATAGTCAATCTCCTGTTATAATCAACTCATTTTGACATCACATCTGAGGCGATGTTAAAGTTAGACGATTATAACGGGCGTTGATTTTAATGGTACTCTAACTTACACGACGTGAACGTAAATAACGTGCATATATTTGATAACATAATTGATGAATAGTAACGACACCTCTGCTTATACTCTGTATTATAGCATTCAATACACAAACAGTGATAACATTTGCGATCCGCTTATGAGTGAAAAACTTTTGAGTCAAACATTTTTGTTGTTTTTGTTTTTGATTAGAAATTGTTATTTAAATGTAATTGTGATTAAAAAGCGGCACAAAGTTTGACATTAATTGACTGAACGGACACTTATTTAACACCAATTGAATGAATGGACGGCTTTTGTGAGCGAAATACACGATCAAAGTGTACGAAATGTACGGCAATTGAGACCAGATTTTGACGATCAAAACGTTTATTGTGTTGTGTTTTATATGTAATGTTATGTTATGTGCGAAAAAACAGTTCACAACTCGTTGTAAACAAGTGTTTCTAAATACATGTCTCATAAAATGGTTTCCCTATTCATACACTTTAACTCATGGTTTCAATTGTCTTCACCAGCGATACAACAATTAATGTAAGTATTGGTTAACAATCGTTAACTCATTTACCGGTCACTCAATGGACCAAATCTGACGCCAATTAAAGGCTGGTTTTGTTGAGCGAGTGTTTTGACACAAATGTGTGTCAAATGGCTGTTTAGGGGAGTCTTTACTGTATATAATGTTATGTAATGTCTGACCACATGTCTGTCTGTTGTGACCTCTAATGACCTCAACGTGTATATCGTTTGCCGACAATAATGTGCCGACAAATGTCTGGACGGAAACCACTTTGAATCCAACGTATGATTTAATGCCTGTATTTTTTGTATTATTTTGAGCTCACATTTGCCTATATATTACGGGCTATTAATAGTCGCTCACAATATAGTGTTGTATCCGAAGTGAACATCAGTTGTGTTGAAATTTTTATTTAATTAGACATCAAATTGAGAGCACAGTTAATGTTAGACTTAGATGTGTCTTGAGATTCACCACTCGTTCCCATGACATACCTGTCCGCTCGACCGGTCAGTCTCTATATCTGTTCGCATGTTATGCCAAACATGTGATTATTTGAGTGACAATACCATGAGATCAATTGCAGTGATGATGGCATTCATCTCTTGACTCATTTGGTCCATCAAAACGCCTCCTAATCTAATCACTGATTGTATTGTATTTGCAAATCAGTGGTAAATCAATGATTATATAATGCGATAGCAATGGTATGACTGTAAGGATAGGGAATATTCAGTATATTATATCATATACGGACTCTTTGGTGCGAAAACACTATTATATGTGATATAAATAGTGAGGAATTTAACAGAATTTCACTTTTTATATGATTAAGTGGTGAATACTTAGAGAGAGAGAGAGAGAGAGAGAGAGAGGTTTTGACTTAAAAATCATTATTAGTTTTAAAGAATCGTGTTAACGATTCACTCGGGATTCAAATGATTGTTAACATATATTTTGTATAGTTTTTGAAAGTCCTTGACATTTGATTTTTAACTCATTTTTACTTTTTTTTAACGATTATTACGATTACAGAAAGAAATCATAATAAAAATGATAAAATAATGTGTAATTGAATGTTTGGTTTGACTCTCGAAATTGCGAAGTGTTGTTGTCGTCGGTGTGTGTGTTGTGTAATAGCGAGGAATTTGTGTGTAAACAATAAATATAATATAAATTGTTTGCTAATCACTATTTACTTGTTTGTGAGATAACATAAATGTGAGCCAACGGTTGTGTTGGTTGTATTGGTTGGGCTGGTATTGCATGGGATGTGTGGGTTGTGTTGCAATTCTGGCTCAGAATCGCGGTAACAGACGTACTGATTGAATGGGAGCCTCACGTTATATGCATAGAGCCTATGAGAGTGAGAGCATCCAAAAGGCACAGAATATAACACACTATTCCTCTATTCCTATGAATACTCGCATTCGTGTTGTCGATAAAAAACAGTGGTTTCGGTCTATAAATAGATTCGTTGAATAGTTTTGCAAAGACTGTTAGAAATAAGAGGAACAGTAGTGGAGAAGTGCGAGAGAGATATAGAGAGAGCAGAGAGGGATTGCTTTCATACCAATTTAGGCAGTGCTCCGCACATCTCCTTACCATTAAACAGCTCTTTAATCATCATTTGGTGAACAAATCGGTCGGTTTTTGGCCGATGGCTGGACACACATCGGCCCATCGAATCGATTCGTTTGTTCCCAAAGGTGACAGTTGTTCCCATTGGCCCATCGCTACGGACTGGAAGAGCTACTTCACCTGTGAATGAGTCCCATAATGAGTACGATATTAAGTACGGAATTTGTTGTTCTTTCCCTATCATTGCCATTGATTTCAATTTGTTTATTAGTTTTGTATTTTTGTTAACCAACTCTTTGGCAGTTTGAGAATCGGCTGAAGCAAAAGTATTTACAATTTAAATTAAATGTATTTGTGATAAAATATTAACCGAGAATATGGTTCAAAATGTGTATTGAATTATGTAATTGTGAATGCATTGCAAAACCGGTTCATAAAGTGATTTATGATTTTTGTTGTTGGCTTAAGTCTAGACTTATTTCTAATGCGAAACCATAAAAGTTATATACATTTATATTTGAAGCGTTATTACAGTTAACTTAATTTCAATTTATGACAAATATATTGAGTTTATAATTTAATATAAATTTAAAATTTACGAGAAAAATCATAACTGAATGTAAATAATTAATGTAAATATTGTGATGGTTTATATAATAGGTAAGGTTGGGAACCAATCGGGCCTGCATTGGGACATTCAACTCGATCAGGACTTATTGGAGACAATAGTGAATCTATACCCGGATTGGTTCAAAGAGAACAGCCTTAGCGCTATGACCGACACCACAAGCGATTCATTCTTACCATTCTTACAATCGTTACCATCGGAAGCCCCTTCTCCTCCACGAGTAGACAATCAGTCCATAAAGAACTCAATGGATAAGAATAAGGAATCGCTGAAAGTGAAGCTTATGCTCAGACGACCCATCAATCATCTCATTGAACAAGGAATCCATCCGCGTATGACATTTGTTTGATTTGTTCTCTCTATTCATTTCATTCATTCATTTAATGTTTGCTTTGACACAGCATTGGGAGCCTCTCCTGTATTTCACGAGAAGAAGAAACAGTTAGAACACGCGAAGAGAACCGACTATTTGAAGCATAAGATTGAGTCCAGACCTCAACGACAAGAGCTCATACAACAGCACATTCTGGAGGACACGACCGCCGATCCGAGTCTTCATGAAAAGCAGCGACAGTTAAAGAAAGCGCGTTTGGCTGACGATCTCAACGATAGGCTATCGCATAGACCGGGACCTCTGGAGCTCATCAAAGGCAACATTTTGCACACCGACGAAGAGTTTGAACACGCGGTGAAAGAGGGACAGATCCCCTTCAAGAACACCAGTGAGGGTGAAGTGATTAAACACCCGCCGCCCAGATTCGTGTTCGCCAACGAAGAGGAGAGCAGTTCCGACAGCGCCTCCTCACCACTCGTTGCCACACAAACCGAACAGTCATTAAACAGTTTGATAACATTCGACGCGACCAAAGTCGATGTGTCCGCCGCCGCCCCGACCGCTACAGTAGTGGCCACGACATGCTCGCCAACCAGCGTCACATACATTGTCTCATCGCCGGTCACAAGTATCCTCACCTCTCCCTCCACTGTTCACTCAATACTTATTGGCAACGGAAACGCTGTGGCCATCGCCGCCGCTCCCACTCCCACCCCATCGGTAGTGGCGGTCGCCTCGGGAACGGCCGCCCCTATAATCAACGCCTCGCCATTCTGTCAAACAACGAATCAGATATCAGTGAACCTTCCAGTGGTGTCCAGTTTTAAGGAACATTCTTCGGGTTCCAAATGTCGCAAGAAGTCTAAATCCAAAGCACAGCCAAAGCCACGAACTATTAAATTTCACGAATACAAAGTGAGTAGTGATTGATTTGTTTGTGTTTTTTATGGGTCTTTAATTCGATGTATCGATGACTTGTTAGGGACCACCGAATTCCAAGATTCTGCCCAACGCTAGCCTTTCGTCGACCGAGTCTTCGTACGAACTGCTTCTACAACAACAACAGTTGTTCCTTCAGTGGCAACTCGAATGGCAACAGAAATACCCACAAATAATCCTTCCAACGGCTCAAGTAAGCCATCAATTCGTATGACAACTCTCTCTCTCTCTCTCTCTCTCTCTCTCTCTCTTTTAGACTGAATTAGTATTGATATAAGTGAGAGACGAATTGATTAATGTTTTTATGGTCTAAACTGATGAATGCATGTTCTTTTCTCTCTCTCTCTCTCTCTCTCTCTCTCTGACAATAATTAATTGAATGTTAAAAACTATTTATTGCTTATATAGAAGACAAGTTTGGACCAAATCCAAGACCAGGGAACAGATGCTCAAAGCGCCGCAAACACACAAAATAGCCCAAAATCGGCTTCAAATCCAAATGTCATGAGAACTACATTTCAAACGAAAGCCAATAACCAAATGATGACGAATAGCGACAGCAATGGTTCGATGGGTTCTCCACGCGATCGCTCCAACAGTAACGCGTCGGTCACTCGTGAGTCCAAATTCAATCCGTCAGTCGTCGGCAAAATGATATCCAAATTGGAAGACATGAAAGTAAGTGATCTCAAAGCGGAGCTTAAGAAACGCAATCTTCCCGTTTCGGGACCCAAACAACAACTCATCGATCGGCTCAAGCCATTCATCGACGCTGTTATGGCCAATGCCATCGCCAACAGCTCTTTTATTACCATGACTTCACCGAATGGTATGATTAGTCCTGAGGTTGAGTCCAAACCGATAACAGCCAGCATTGAAGCCGTAAAGATTGAACCCAATTGTGATTCTGTGCCGATGTCTCCCAACGTTATCATGTCATCGCCTCGTGAGTGCGTCGACGCAAAGAGCGAACCCATGGATATTAAATCGCCCGAAAACACTGTTATGGAAGTGGACTCAGTTATGGCTGAAGAGGTTGACCAAAATTGTTCGATGGATTTGGGAAACGATCCGTCCCTTCAAACGAACGATGAAATTGTTTTATTGCAACAGAAAAAGATCAGTGAATTGCAAAGAGAGCTACAAAAGTCTCAAATGCAGTTACATTTACAACAAACGGCTGGCCATCCGATGGACACCCAAACGGCTGTAAACGGGCCTCAAATTCACATCATTTCGACGCCAACTACTGAGCTATCAGTAGACGGAACGACACAGAAATCACTTCAACGCCAAATACTTCAGCAGCAGTTGCAACAAAAACTACAGCAAAATCTTAATTTAAAACCACAAACGGCTAATAATGAAACAAATTTAGCCACTCTTTTAACAAACGGTACGATTTCGCCGTCAGTTAAGGCGAGTTTAGCCGCTTTTCTTCAAAGCCAACAACAATTACAACAACAAAATCAAAGTTTAGCCCCTCTAATAATGAAACAAATTTAGCCACTCTTTTAACAAACGGTACGATTTCGCCGTCAGTTAAGGCGAGTTTAGCCGCTTTTCTTCAAAGCCAACAACAATTACAACAACAAAATCAAAGTTTAGCCCCGAAACTGATTACCACACAGAATGTCACACCCATTCAGCAAATTGTTTTGTGTCCAACAATTTGTGCCACAACTGAAACCGTCTCTCAAGAGCCCGACGGCGGAAAACAGCGGACAAACTCTCTTCCAAACGGATTGTCACAGAAATTCCTGTCGCACTCATCCTTAAGGTATGTCTTAATGATTAGCATTTTTTGCGATAAATGTATTTTAAAAAATGTTGAATTGTTTATCACCAGAACGTCTTCGCTTCCAAATTTCAATTCAATACTTACGAGTCATGCGAACGGCGAACAAAAAACGGCACCCGATGTGAAGCCAACGGTAATATTAGCGAAATGTCCGCCCAATTACGACGAGGCGACCAAACAGATGAACAAACCTAAAGACAAGAAGAGATCTGTCAAAAGTCAAGCGGTGGACGACGTCCTCGAAATACTTATCAAGAATGGAGAACTGCCGCCCAGTGCTGCACACGACCCGACCACTCCTACCACACCCGACAAGTTGTTGAAAAACCAAAAGAATCCGTTGTTCTCAACCATTAAAACATCCCAAAAGTCTTGTGAATCAAACCCAACCAATCATTTGAACAATAATCATAGCAATACTAATGATAGTAATAATAATATTAGTAATAGTAATATAAATAATAATAATAATAAAATAGTTATAAATAATAGCAACAATTGTATAAATAACAAAACGAGTGCTCAAAACAACGCAACTCTCGATTTCGACTTCATTTTAGATCTCGAAGGATTGGCTGAAGCCATGGATCTGAATGTGGCCATCAATGAGAAGAGTCTAAAACCAGAAAAGATTAATAATATTACAAATAACGCAAACAACAATTCATATCAAACTCAATGCAATCAAAGTTTAAACAAACATAACACCAATAATGAGCTTTCATTGTCTGAATTCATGGACTTTCAAGAGTGTCCGTTGAATGTTGAGGACAACCACTGGTTAGGAATGGCGTCCACTTCGAGGTCGGCTAACGAACAAAATATGTTAGACTATAACGAAACCGATGAACAAAATCAGTCAAACGTTAATTTTGATAACAATAACAACAGTGAAAACAATTGCGGCCAAAACTCAATTGCAAAAAGTGAGACGTCTTCAAAACACGACCCGATTCTTCCCAATACGATGTTTGGCGGATCACTTGTGGACCCATTGGGTGACCTTTTCTTCGACGACAGCGATTTCAAGTCGACACTGGATTTGGGATCTCTTATGTGGGATAAAGTGGATTTCGCCACTTGACTCACACCTATTGTCTTATGACTAATAGGCGGACAAAACGGCTCATTATTGAAACACACGAATAACTCAATTAAGTTGTGGACCAAACAATTGATTTCTCTTTTGACCACATTTTCAGTCAATCTTCAGTCCAATTTGTAAACCAATGTATAAAAAACAAACGCAAACCAAAACAGTTAGTGTTAATACAATTTTTAACGAATCAATTGTAAGTTATATTACAAATTAATGGTTTAAATTTTTCTGTTGTTTTCTCTTTAATTTGTTAAAAACTAATTGAAATTAACTATAAATTTGTTGTATTAAAAGACTAACCATTATTATTATTATTGAGTGAATTGACGTTCCAATCATTGCAATCCAACAAAACAATTACCAAAACCAATACCAATGTGTGAAGCTATCAGTGCAACCATTAGACCACAAGTATAGACATTACAAGACATAACATTTGAATTGTTCCTAAATTTTAGTTTTCAAAATCAATATACGATTAGTGTTTTTGCAGACCAGTTGTGCCAATACTTCTCTCTTTCTAACGCATGACTTGTGTTTTTGTTTCTCTTTTCTATTTATGTATTGTATTATATTATATAATGTTTTAAATTATAAACTAATATAATTAATAAAATTTTGTTTAAACAACTGGTAAACCTGCGAAAAAAGCAGTGGTTTAAAGCAGGTTAAAGAAACTTCAATAGTAATTTTGGTTATAAAACGTTTGTAAACACAGAAAATAAACAGATTCATTTGATTATATTTTTGTGTGAAAACTATTGGATCATTACATAAGTGAGGACTGGAGTGACCACAACAGACACACAATTGCCATAATTGCACCATGCACATGCAATGCTCATGGCACATCTACTTTTCCACAATTATTCTAAATTTAAGTAAAAAGTTTACCCCATTTTAAGTATGGGTTAGAGTCGAGCATAAAATATTCAAATTAATTCAAATGCCGCTATTTTCACCATTTTAAAGCTGCTTTACCATACTTTATGCCACATTTGCAAGTTTATCCTAATGTTACAGTTTAGGTGAAATTATTTGAAGGCATCAGCAATATTCATATTTCGTAAAATCATAAAACATTATAATTATGCATAATCAAATAAAGTTGCAAATCTCATATAACTTAATTGATAAGAATTGTTGGTTACATTTTTAAGGAGAGTAAGCCAGGCATATGCAGTTTATTAAATGAACTATCGAAGTAATGTGTAGAATGAGCTAGGTAACTCACAATACATGTATATTTGATCACTAGTTATATAATGATGTAATACATTGTTTAATAAAGTTATCGGGATTTACAAGCGATACGTGTGTCGGGTATATGACTGGTATATAACCGGTGAGACCTCTAGTGTTTGGATTATGTAATCGTTGTTAGTCAAGTGCGTAGTCAGCAGTGTTGTATACACAGCGTGTATACTCATCTCCACAACGCATAACAACTCGCATAATATCGATATTATCACTGAGTTTAGTGTGGGATAAGAGGTAAGTTTCCATACTTTAATTCATTTGATTGTGATTTGAGTTTTCACTACAAATTCAGTTATCATTTCGACACTCATTTGGCGTCCATTTTCACCACTCATTCACTACTGAATTGAACACTAGTTTGCGATCATTGAGTGTTTGGCTGATTGTAATCCAAACACTACTCCACACAACACACAGCCATCACAACCACAACAACACAACGCGTAGCCATTCAGTGCTGAAGACATCGACTCACAACCAAATGGACGACTTGGAGGACGACTGCAATTCAAACGGCGGCGACAATTGGATCCAAAACCAGAAGTACACCAATTGGGAGATGGAGTGCATCAACAGATTGGAGACATCACCCGATTTGGACCAACAGATCGACATCGAGAAAGGAGGTATTGTCTTGTGTTGTCGCCCATTATCAACTGACGGCTAATTGTCTGCTAATTATGACCCAATCCACAGGTAATGAACACAAGCTATGGGTGTCTTTCCAAACGGCCGCGTGTAGTATCGCTCAACTATATCAGGGTATGTCTGCCACCGAGTCTTATGGCCACCAGTGATGGTATAGTGTGTAATGTGTGTGCATCTGATCCATAGGTCGTGAGCAACACGTGTCGGTGTGGATGCCGTTCCAGAACGCCGCGAGTGCGGTCACCACTCTATACAAGGAGTGCATTGAATCTCAAAAGCGATTTTCTGACTTTGGTTTCCAATGCGGACAACAAAAGCGCAATAAAGAGCTGTTGGCGTGGCTTAAGAAGAGGAAGCGTATGATTCGTCGCGAAGAGTTGATAGCGTTCCTGTCGGGCGCCACCAATCAGAGCCAATACGGGCATCCATTCCACCATCACTTCCATCACTCACACCATCGGTCCTGGAATTCGCCGAAACCGAGGCTCTCGATGAGCGACAGCACCGGACGATCCGCTTTCACTCGTCTCAGTCTCAACGATGGCTTAACTGACGGCAACTCAAACCCAAACACCGATACCTCTAATAACGACGAAACAGATTTGGAGACATTTCGCGAAGCACTCGAAGGTTTGTCACTATCTTTGTATGAATAATGGTATCGATTGTTAACTCATTAAACAACTCATTGAACAATAGGTCTGAAAGGTAGCGCTTCTTCGACTCAGTCGTCCGATCGGAACAGTTATCGTCAGAACAGCAGTCGTCCGATAATTCGTGTCTCAAATAATAGCAATAATTCAATGGAAGAATTGAATGCTTTTATATCTGAAGAGTACAACAGACACGTGGAGTCCCGCAAACGGGGATTGGAGTCATCCAGTGATGTGATTATGGACTCTCCCACTCATAAGCGCTCAAAACATACATAATATTATTGATATATAAATAACAATTCAAAAAAACTTATGTTTAAATCAATTAATTGTTTACCTTTTTATTTTAGTTCACATATCAGTTATGGCTTTGAGTTTGAAAAACAATTAGTTTTCTTTCTGTTGATTCACTTTTAAAGCCAATAATTGTAATAATATTTAATTATTTGTTTAATTATTATCTTACGAATCAGTTATTCAGTTAAGGAATCTTTAACTCTCTTATTGACAATAAATGTAAGTATTTGTACATAAAATTTGACAATTTTTCCTAAATATTTAATATTTTATTGTTATAATCGGCTCTTTATGTTAACGCGATTTTGTCAATGACTTCCACATAAGAACTCATTTATTACTATTTTCTCTTTATATTTGATTTGGTTTTTGCTCTTTAGTTCTTATTCTCTATCTTTTGATTTACTGTCTCTTTTTTTCCTATAGTTTTCTTCTAAATTTGAATAATTATTGAATTGAATTAACTTTTGTTTTGTCAGTCGTTTCACAAAATTGTTATCAAATTTATTTGTTAATTGTTTTGCGAATGAATTGTCTATTATTTAAACAAAAACACCTGAGTTTTGATTTAAACATCAATTAATTTCTATATTTTATTAATTATATATATTATTATTAATAAGCATTGCTTTTGATTTTATTATTTAATACAATAATGTATTAACAATAAAATTTATTATAATATATCAGTTATATTATAATCAATAAAATTATGTAATTACTACACAACAAAATACAATTTATTGATTAGTTTGGATATAAACAAAGTGTATTGTATTGTATTGTATGCTTTTGAATAGATCAATAGACCATGATGCAATTTTGTGTATGAATTGTGAACATAACATGTGAACGCATTCCCCATTTAGTAATTGTACTGCAAATTAAGTACAATCTCTTATAAGTCTACTATAAGGGCTATAATATCTGCCTTAAAGTGATTGTTTTATTAGACATTGAGATAATACGTGGATATGTGTCAACCTTTTTGATAATGTTTATCACAATTTTCATACAGAATATTCGCATCACGTTTATTCTAACCACACTATACAGTACAGTTCCCACTCATATTCTGTACATATTATGCATAAAATTGTAAAAAAAAAGTTTTTTGTTTAAATCAATAAAACCGTTAAGCAAAACATGTTTATTAAATGGTAAAACAGATGTGTTTACAGCGACAGTGGATGTGGTCATTGAGGGACAGGTGAGGACATTAGAGGAAACTAATTCCGGAGATAATCATATATGAAAGTCAAGCCTCACTCCAAATAATACTTATTGTATTGATTTATGCGACAAATGATTATTGTTATGAGTCATAATAAGTTTGAGTTTAATAATAAGTTTGGAGACTTAGAATCTCTGTCATAACTTATGACAGAGATTCTAAGTCTCCAAACTTATTATTAAAATCAATAAATTATATTTAATGATTGGATACGAACTCTAAATGTGAGGTCATTTGAAAGTATTGTTGTTTGCATATAATTATGTATTAATGAATAGCAAATTCCTGAAATTTTCCTCATTTGCAATAAGTAATTGCAAGAATTTATAAATATTGAACGCCTAATACTATGTGCTCCTATGTTAACTCATAATGATTGAACGGTAAAGCAAAACATTTTGTTTCAAACAACTTATTTTGAAAATTATAATAAATAAATATAAATGTTGTAAAAATACGAATCGAGAATTCTTTAGAGAATAATAAACTTTTAGCACTTTTTGAGATGGCGTTAAGGTATACATACATTGGAAACAATGGGTATTATATGTAATAGAGTGTACAATACTCGGCGTTTTTGTCAAACAGGTTTCGTTTCCTCTGCCAAACAACACCTGGAGTTTCATAATATTGAATCACAAACTCAAGCACTCAGGACTACCTTTCCATAGTCTCCACCCAACCATTCAATAACATATTGTGTGTCTATATATACAGAGTATCAATGCATTTATACTTTCATTTAGTTTTACAAATCGTTTTTATTAATTCATATTTTCAATTGTCAATTGAATCATATTTTTCAATTCAATAGTAAAAGTTTGGTGAAAAGTTTTCTTACGTTAAACAAGTAGTTTGACATTAAAGATAGAGTTGTATTGCAAGTGTTGTCTCGCATCCACTCTGTAAAAGAGTTTTCACTAATAAATGATAATAATTAATAAAAACCAAAATATTATTACTTGAGAGACAAAGAACTGTTGATGTGGTGTTAAATACATGAGTTTGTAGTGATTGTAATGATGTTATCGAGTGGTGATCGGTTCAAGAGAGCGGCCAGAGATGGCTATTTGGATGTCTTACAGGCGGCCACTCGTAAGGACGCCAACACTGGCGATGAGGACGGCATTACACCCACTCTTTGGGCCGCATTTGCCGGCAATTTGGACGCTTTGAGGACTTTAGTGGGCAGAGGGTATTACACATTACATGCATTTCATATCATTCTCATTACAAGTTTATTTTTATGTTTAGAAAAAGTTTTATACAAACAATCAATTCTCAAATTACAAGTTTAAGTTAATTAAAAGTTTTCTTTAATTAATTTTGTAATTAACTTATACTGAAATTATGTGTATATTTATACATAATACAGAATATTATTCTTTATAATTGCTTGTATTTGTAATGTTAGACAAATATTTTCAAATCAAATAACACACAAAGTTATCAAAATTATAAAATCTCGGAATAATAGGCAAATGTATATCATTTTCGACACGATGTCTAAATGGCGTGCATTTCTTACATAAATATCTTGAATAGAGTGTTAAATCAATGGAAAGAAATGAATTAAACGAAAGCTATATTTAAAGTTAAAAACCCCTAATGATTATTGAAATGGAAAAAATCCCAAATTTTGTCACAAATAATAATAATAATTGAAATAAAGTTTTTGCGAAAAACATTGAACTTTGCAATTGAAAGGAAGCGTTTGCCATCCCGTTGTTGTCAGTCCCTGTCCTCAAGTGTTGGCCAGCCATGCATTCCATGCATTCATATTGTATAGAGTTTACGAATTATTATAATTAATAATAATAAATAATAATAATATTTTCATTTATTTTTTCAATTCTCTTTCTCTCACATGAATTGCATTTCAAAATCATTATCCATTGAATGTATGATTTGTTGGCAATGTTTTAATGACAAAAAATTCATAATTAATTTATTTGTTAAATAAATGTGGATTTCGAAACAATACATAATTGTTTTGTTTAAATCATTTTGCGATTATTTCCTAATATTTTTCGTAAACTTTGTATATCTTTCAAGAAATTTCTTGTGAAGTGTTTAAATGAATTCTTAAAAATAGGACTAAAACTGTGTTTTTATAATAAAAGTTAATTACATTTTATGCCATTAATATGAAGACTAACCCAAACACGAAAATCATTTAAATTTCAAGTTTTCTCTACAATAATAGATTGTTTTTGAAAATTTAATATATTTAGAAATACTTAAAACAAGTTTTGAATAAAATAAATGAAATAATAATTTTATAATATTAATCAAAATTGAAAGTACAGCACATTTAAAAAGTAGTGATACTTATTTGTAAATTAGTTTTTAAAAAGTTATTTTTAAAAGAAAATTTTATTTTGAATTTCTAATATGTAAACGAATGAAATGAAATTAATGTGAAATAAATTTTACATTTATTTCTCAATCTAAAGGAAGCGCTAAAAATAGGCCACAGATTTAAGAGAAGTTTTAAAACTTTAGTTCATAACAAAAGTTAACAAAAGTTTGCGAAAAATATTAGGAAATAATCGCAAAATGATTTAAACAAAACAATTATGTATTGTTTCGAAATCCACATTTATTTAACAAATAAATTAATTATG